AAGCGGGTTTGGTTACAGGACTGGGTTTGATTGGTTACAGGATCTGTCAATCAAAGCGGACTTGGTTACAGGACTGGATCTGATTGGTTACATGACTTTTCAATCAAGCAGGTTTGGTTACAGGACTGGATCTGATTGATTTCGTGACTAGTCAATCATAGCGGGTTTGGTTACAGGACTGGGTTTGATTGGTTACAGGATCTGTCAATCAAAGCGGACTTGGTTACAGGACTGGATCTGATTGGTTACATGACTTTTCAATCAAGCGGACTTGGTTACAGGACTGGATCTGATTGGTTACATGACTTTTCAATCAAGCAGGTTTGGTTACAGGACTGGATCTGATTGATTTCGTGACTAGTCAATCATAGCGGGTTTGGTTACAGGACTGGGTTTGTTTGGTTACAGGATCTGTCAATCAAAGCGGTTTGGTTACAGGACTGGGTTTGTTTGGTTACAGGATCTGTCAATCAAAGCGGTTTGGTTACAGGACTGGATCTGATTGATTTCGTGACTAGTCAATCATAGCGGGTTTGGTTACAGGACTGGATTTGATTGGTTACAGGATCTGGCAATCAAGCAGGTTGGGTTACAGGACTGGATTTGATTGGTTATGGGATCTGTCAATCAAAGCGGGTTTGGTTACAGGACTGGATTTGATTGGTTACAAGATCTGTCAATCAAAGTGGGTTTGGTTACAGGACTGGATCTGATTGGTTACAAGGTCTGTCAATCAAAGCGGGTTTGGTTACAGGACTGGATTTGATTGGTTACAAGATCTGTCAATCAAAGTCGGGTTTGGTTACAGGACTGGGTTTGATTGGTTACAGGATCTGTCAATCAAAGCGGACTTGGTTACAGGACTGGATCTGATTGGTTACATGACTTGTCAATCAAGCAGGTTTGGTTACAGGACTGGATCTGATTGGTTTCGTGACTAGTCAATCAAAGCGGGTTTGGTTACAGGACTGGATTTGATTGGTTACAGGACTGGATGTGATTGGTTACATGACCTGTCAATCAAGCGGGTTTGGTTACAGGACTGGGTTTGACTGGTTACATGACTGGATGTGATTGGTTACATGACCTGTCAATCAAGCGGGTTTGGTTACAGGACTGGGTTTGACTGGTTACATGACTGGATGTGATTGGTTACATGACCTGTCAATCAAGCGGGTTTGGTTACAGGACTGGGATTGATTGGTTACGGGATCTGTCAATCAAGCGGGTTTGGTAACAGGACTGGATCTGATTGGTTATGGGATCTGTCAGTCAGAAACGGTCTTGTTTTACCTTCTCCGTGCACTTGTGGATGAGTGTGGCGAGTTCAGACACCACCAGATCCACACACTTGAGGCACGGCTCCTTCAGTTTAACTATCTGCTTTTTCACGATGGCCTCAAAGGCCAGGTCAGGGGTGAAGAGCCCCGTCCTGGAGGATCATGGGACAGTGGGGTGTTACTTGGGGTGAGAGGGGCACAATATTGGGAAAAAGCGGACGGATGGATGAAAACAGAAACAAAGAAAAGCACACGACCCATTCATTCTGTACTCCCTTTTTCCTAAACGAGATGCGGGTCATTACTTGGAATTGCAGCACTTTAACCCCCGAGTCATTGATTTTAACCACAAAATATGATATTCATAAATGCAAATGATCAGAAACTGTACCAGTACAAGTTTATTATGTCCTGCATGATTACACCTCAATATTGATGATTTTTAGATCTTAATTTGTAGCCTTTTAGATAAATAAAAAGCAACAATATATTTTTAACGCCATGTAGGCGTAAAAAACAACAATTATTAGTCAGTTCATGTCAAATTTTATTGCTTTTTTTTAATAAATTTTTTTTGTGTGAAAAAATTTGTTATTTGGGTGTTTATTGGACATTCCGTGTCAGATTTTATTGCTAATTTGGTTTGATCTGAAATGCACTAATGAAATGTGAAATACACACTTTTAATGCTACTTGAGTATAAAAATGTTTATAGGACATTTTGTGTCAGATTCTATTGCTGATTTAAAATAATTGAAATAAATGTTTTAACACTATTTGAGCATAAAACAACATTAATAGGACATTTTTGTGTCAGTTTTATTACGATTCGGTTTGGTTCAAAATACATTATTGAAATTTGAAATAAACACTTTTTATAAACACTTGGTTTGAACCTAAAAACAACATTTATGGGGCGGCTCATGTCAGATTTGATCACTGACTTGAAATAAGTTATTTAAATGTTGAGTTTGTCCATCAGTTTTCAGTATTTCCTCATTAAAGCAGACAGGATGGTGTGACTGAAACGGCTCAGGAGTCGCACACATCATTGGGAGTGTTTTTGCTTTGCAGAGCCGTTAGCGGCGTGAGTCAAGTCAGATGTTAGCGTGCTGACATGCGTGTTGACGTCTGTCTCTGTCTACCTTCAGCGTGCACTGCCTGACCGTGTTGATGAGCTCCTGGATCACCAGGTCAATGCATTTGAGACACGGCTCCTTCAGCTTTATCAGCTGCTTTTTCACGATGGCCTCGAAGGCCATGTCAGGGGTGAAGAGCCCCGTCCTGAGGTCACACACACAGGCAGACAGAACCACTGAACAGAAAGCAGGAGTGTGCAACAACAACGACAGCGCAAGCCGTATAGTCCGATTACACAAACTATGAATCTCCTTTATTTATATTCCCTCGATTTCAAATGTTGTTTTAATCTTGGTTTTTTAAAATGTTGTTTGGAAAAGCAGTGATGATTTTGAAAATATGTAATGTACTAGTTATGTTATGTGATGCATCTTTGGCAAACATATAATTATAATAATATATAATATGTAGCAATATACAATAATATATAAAATATTACAAAGAAAAAGAAATACACTGAAAATAACCGTTTACAACAAAATTAATAACATCCTTTAGAAAACAGCCTAGATATTGTGAATTTACACTATTTACACATCTATGATTTTGTTATTTTAATTGCAATTTATGTATTTATATCAATCGGATATGTTGATCTCCATGTTTTAGTGCTCTCAAACGATTAATCGCATCCAAAATAAGTTTTTGTTTACATAATATATGTGTGTGTACTGTGTATTTATTATGCATATATAAATACTCACACATACTGTATATATTTTGAAAATATTTCCATGTATATTTATATTCATATAATTTATATTATATAATGTCAATATATTTAATATATGAACATATTTTTTTTTCTATAGGCTATATAAATGCATGCATGTGTATTTATATATATATACATAAAAATAAAAAGCACACACCTACATCATGTAAACAAACACTTATTTCTTTTTGACTTTGAGATCTTCATAACCTTTTCTCCTTCCTCGTTTTTGTGTTTTTATTGCTGTTTCTTGATTTGTGTGGCTGTTACGGTGTATGAGTTTTTTTCTCTTGCCTGACTCCATGAATGTTCTTGATGGCGTAACTGATCTCCCTCCTCAGCTCCTTCTCATCAAACTCCATCTAAAACACACACATACACATACGCACACACACACACTGTATCATACGAAAGGAATCACTTAGCTAAAAATGTAAATTATGTAATTATTTACAAAACATGCTGCAGGTTTGATTACATTCTTAAAGATTCATTGATTCATGCACAAAACCCTCATATTCTCCATCCACAGCCAACATAAAGTCAAACCTGGAGAGCAAACGAGCCTAAATGTACCTTAACGAGCTCAAACGGGAAGCGCTCGTGGAAGATGCGATTGATTCGTGCGCCGCCGGAGAGCTCAAGCGTGTCCACCTGATCGCCAGAGCCCTCGATCCGCTTCTCGAAGTCCACGCCGAACTGCTGCACCATCCTACCAAAGTCTAATTTTAATATAACTTCATATATAATGTATTAATAAAACGTTATGAGAATGTAAGTGTGCAGAAAGGCTTGTTTCGGCTCTGGGTGGAGGCTCACTGCAGCAGGGCTTTGGTTTTGCGCGCTGGATCGTCCGGTTTGAAGTTCTTGTACTCGTCCACCTCTTTCTCCAGCGACAGCAGCTGAGACTGAAGTTTGCTGCGCAGCGCCGGCAGAGTGTCACGGATGTGATTCGTCAGTTGCTGGAAACAGCCGATGAAACGTCACTATGAGGTGTTTTATGAGGCAATGGAAATGATTTCTGCAGGTACGGTGTGTGTGTGTGTGCCTGGCTGAGTGTTTTCTGCAGGTACGGTGTGTGTGTGTGCCTGGCTGAGTGTTTT